GCCTCTGGCATGTCAGCCACTCCTCCCAGCTATTACTTCCACAATACAAACCCAATGCAAAGTGAGTCTGATGCCGTCTAAAATGTGTAACTGACCGAATCTAGGGCAAGGTGACAAAGCACACAGTAAAGGGCAGTATGCATTTTCAAGCATGACTATTATTTTAATGCTGGTTTTACTCACTTTCAATAGCTTGCACTCCCGTGAATCTGTGAACGCGGGGAACATTTCTTCGTATTTCTCAAGCGCAAGCTGAAAGAGAGAAGACAACCTTTAGGCTCATTTCTCGCAATACTACTTGCTTTTTATTTCAATTTTTGCATTCCAATCCTAAAACAGCACAGAGAGCTTGGGAATGTGTTCACAGTAAATCCAGTCTGACGTTATGGCACCTCCAGCTTCAGTCTGTGCAACAGCCACGCAAATCCCTGTGCATGCAAGAATGCATCCCAGCCAGCAAGAGTAGATTAAGAGAGATGCAGAAAGTTTGGGATAACCACTCTGAGCCCACTGACCTTGGCGTTCAGCTCATCCACGATGAAGTGGCACAGAGCAGCTTTGAAGAAATACTCTTTTGCGCTATACTTGAGCAAAGGATTATCCATCGTGTTTGTTCCAACCTAGGCACAAAAAGATACTGAGCTGGGAAAGAAAACCGCATCAGTGAGAACTGAATTAAAAACAGGACAGCACTACAGGGCTGTCTGCGAATAAAAACCACAGATAAAATGCCAGGGTCTGTAGAAAAAGCTGTTGGAAATCCAGACAGGTTTGTAACTAATCCTAAGTGAAGTCACAAACTCGCAGGCAGCGGTGAGAGTGCACCCATGCAGCCCGTCCTCCCAGGGAGCTGCTGCACCAGTTCAGAGGTACCACACTGGTACCTCAGTATGTCCCATCTGATGCAGAAAGGGGAAAGAAAGTCAGCTCAGTTAAAACCTGCTCCAGTATTAACCCTCCAGAAGCACAAAAGCAGCGCTGCAAGTATTCCCAGGTAATTAATTACCTGGCACAAAGGCAGAGCAATCAGGTTTACAGATTTGGGGAGAAATTTTCTGCCAAACATATTTGTAAATACAATCAAAAGTGTAATTATACAGGTTTCCTTTCCCCTGCTTCCCCCAGCCTTTCTCTAGAAACAACAGAATTCAGGGGAAAAAAAAATGCCTTTGATAAGTTAAAGCAACTCTTAAGGCAAAGGAGCAAACCATGTCTCGTAAAGGCATAATCAGCCCTGAAATAAGTAAGATCAGGCACTTCTAGGCCATGGCAGTTTTGTGAGAGTGACACACTGACCCACTTTTCATTTTCAATCAGTGTTTGCCCCACAGGATGAAGCACACATCCTCACCTGCTCATAGATTTCTATCGCCTTCTGGTACTGCTCCAGCTGTGCGGCGTAGGCAGCCACCTTCAGCAGACACTTGTTGGCTGAGCTACAATCAATAGCGTTACAGTAAGTTACTGTGTCCTGGGGAAAAACAAATCCACGCCCTGGCACCTCCAAGCACTACCTGTACTACCAGCTGCAAATTAGGGAATTGTTGTTTTTACAGTCAAAATTAAAACAGATATAAAGGCACACTTTAGTGTGCGCTGCTTCTCCTTGTCAGTCAGTTTCAGAAACAGCCCCTGCTGGCACAGACATCCATCTTACCACACCACTGCAATCCAAAGCTCTTCTACCCAACCACACGTGCTTTTCTGAGGCAGAGATGCCACACAACCCGTGCAGCTGGAGTGGAAGTGAGAAGGCTGTACACAGGGCTATGGCTCACACGAGATCCCCAGCTGAGGGGTACCATGGGATTTACCAGAAAACCCCAGCAAGAGAATAGTGCCTTGTGCTCAGGTCCACCCCTCTGACATGAGGCTGTCTGGGAGCAGGCATTGAGAAGTATGGACTGGCTGCCCTGCAAAAGGAGAGGAGCTGTGTCCAGGGAGCAGCCTGAGCTCCAGCAGGCCAGGGCAAAGGTAGTTTCCCCTTGAGGACCTCTCCAGGTGAAGCATGCAGGCAGTCTGCAGTTACCTAAGCTCACTGGCACCCCAAGATTTCCCAGCAGGCTGCCAGGCTGCCCAGCAGACGCAGTCCCTGCTCTCCACGGCGCTGCACGAAAACCTTCAGCTCAGCACAGACCTGGCCTCAAGACACCGTTCAACCACTCCATGCTTTCTCTGCACCCAAAACAGTCAGGCCAAACCAGACAAGCCTGCATGCAGGACGAGAGCCTTAAACAGAATCTGTCTAAGCTGGACTTGGGCATCGCACCAAAGGACATTTTAGAAGAGGCCAGCGGACAAGGTGTGCAAGCATGTGGGTCACCCAGGACAAATGCCCACCTCCAGCCCTTCCCTGTTGTGACTCTTTCACAAAGACCACTTGCCTGTTAGACTCCTCTCCTTTGTAATAGTCTGCAGCCTGCTCGTAGTGTGCAATCGCCTGGGGACAGAAACATCGCACTTTAATGCCACTTCTGAAGCACAATTTTCGGTCAGATCAGTGCACAGCCTCTGCTTTCACCAAAGCTTTTCCGTTCTGTGCACAAAGGGAGCAGTGGCACAGCACACCACAGGGTTTCTGGTGGAGCGAAGGCACTGCCAGGCATCCCCTGCATGCTCAAATCATGAGGCTGCCCTTGGAAATTTGACCATGAACTTGTCAAGAGTCCCAAACTCCAGTGCAGATTTAATACAGGTGACACTACTCTGGAGGTAATGACTAAAAACACTTATAATCACAGTGCAACAAAGCTTCTGCCAGGTTTGCCACAATAAATTGCTTAACAGAACAGTCCTGACGTAGCAGGGCTTGATTTAAGTGGGGCTGCGGGTGGAGAGGCAACACTGAAGTCATTAACAGAGACAGACAGGATCCAATGAAGTTGGAGCTGAAGATGCAAACATTGTCTAGAAAATAATATCTAGAAACCACAAATTTTTGTTCTGCAAACTTTGAGCAGATTTGCAGCCAGTTGAGCTGCTGCAGGATTCCTGCTCGGGGTCCTTGGTTATGGGAACGAGAGAGGATTGGTGCTGAACTGTGAAATAAAAGTACTAGCAGCTTCCTTTGGGTGCCTCAGAAAAGAGAGATAAAACTGCCCTGCAAGTTTCCCAACGTGCTTTTCCAATGGGAAACACCACTTCAGTGGAGAAGGTTTCTCACCCAGGTGTTTCTGCCAGCCCTGCTGTGCTGTGGCTCAGCAGAGGGGCACGTGGAAGGGTCAGGGTTGCCCTGTGAGAGACCCCGGCTGGGAAAATCATCGCTCGCCCCGTTAACACTGATTTCAAGTTGCAGGTGACTTGCACCTACGTAGAGAACCTGGTCGGTGCCAGACGGGAGATGGGTTTTATTGGCCGTGCTGAGCTCGGCGCTGCTCTGGCCAGGGAAGGAAATGCAGCGGCTGGCCCACGACCCGCAGAGCCATTTTTTAGAGCAGCACCGGCAGCGCCCAGCATCCTTACCTTCTCAATGTCTACCAGCTCGGCCTCGTAGATCTCCGCAATGGTGATGTGGTGCTTGGCAGCGATCGTGAATCGCCCCTAGAGAAGGCAGAGGTTGGATGTGAGATGGGAGCTCCCCCCATGCCCAGCACACACGCAGCATTTACCAAGCTGCATCTCTTACAAACACATCGGTCCACGAGCTGCCAGTGCAGCTTCTTACCATGTCGGTGTAGATATCAATAGCTGCATTTAAGCAGTTGATGGCCTCTGCAGCATGAGTGTTCAGGAAAAACAACAAAGTCAGCCAGCATGTCACACTTCCCAGCCCAAGACCTCCCCCCACCTCCAAAAATCAGATCTCAGTAACACTACTCTTCATCAGACCACACACCAGCTTCTCAAGTAAGTATCTACTCACACATTTACATATACCTGGAATGACAGACGTAACATTTTCAAGCCCTAAGACCTACAGATGTAACATCCCCCACATTTTTGCACCTGCAGATCTAATCCCAATTCACCCAGTGCCAACACCCCCATCTCACCAAGAGCCTGCTGGTTTGCTCAGGCAGAAATTCCAATGCTGAAAGGTTAACAGTCAAAAAATAGGATGGGCAAAAATACAAATGACTTTTACCCTGGGTTTGTCAGGCTGCATCCTCAAAGAGAGCAAAATACAAAATACCAATCTCATAAACACGCAGGGGCTGCCATTTTCTAGGAAAATTGGGGGTTTTACAATTACAAAACAGCATTATCAGCCCTGAGCTAGTTTCTCCAGCCCCCTGGCACAGGAAAGCATGGGTAATGCTGCTGGGTTGGCTGGTGTGTTTCCAAACACTCAGCTAGGACAAGGAGAATCAGAGGTCTTCCAGAAAACCACAATCCTGCTCTTTACAACCAGATTTAAAGAATCCAGATCCTTTATCCTCACCCCATCAAAGGTCAGTCTGTTTTCCTCCCGCCTCTTCTCTGCCCCAGGAAAACCCCTGGGAATAGGGCTGGAGCTAAGGGCAGGGATCCCACTGTGATCCAGACCCAAGATCTGCTTTAAGTATTCCTTAAGAAGTGAGTATGTCTCCTAAGTCAAGCTAAACCAGGAGGGAAGCTGCCGAGGCACAGAGCTTCCCAACCAGTGCTCTGCAGCGTAAGCCAAAGTGCCAGAGATCACCTAGAGACGACACTCTACATGTTGCCGATCCACAGGGCAGAACAAGGCGATACTGACGAGCAAACATCATCTGAAAGCCTATTTTGGAGAAGCAGAAGTCCAGAAGGTATCATGGCTTTTGAGTAGTCTGCAACCCTGTGGAGTCTGTGACTACCAAAAGCCTCGGCACGCCCCCTCCTCTGCCTCTAAGCAGCTCTGCAAGAAGCAACCCCAGAATTTGCTGCCCTTACCTTGCGGGTCCGCTTTTTTGTAGGCGTTCCCCGCGTCCACGAAGCTGGTGGCCGAATCGTGTTTGCTCTGCAGCTGCATGTGCAGCTTGGCCGCCTGACAGAACGCGTTTCCTGCAGCTGGGAGAGAAGCGCACACCCACCCCATGTACCCCCCAACCGGGCAATGATCATCGCGAAACGGCAAAGCACACGTCGCTTCCCAGAACCCAGAGAGGTTTAGAGAGGCAACAACCCCAAATTGTTTGTGCCCAGGCCCTGCTTGTCTGCTGGGGTTTGAGCCCATCCCTACAGGGGGGCATCACAGAACAGTTTGGGTTGGAAGGGACCTTAAAGATCATCCAGTTCCAACCCCCCTGCCATCAGCAGGGACACCTTCCACTACACCAGGTTGCTCAAAGCCTCATCCCACCTGCACGCTCGCCCTTGGCAGTGTGTGTTCATCCTCGCTACTGGATGCACCCTGCAACTACTGGATCAGCAAGGGGGATCCCTTGGATCTCAATATCCATCGGCTTTGACATCCCACCCCAAGGTATCTCCTTGCTGAAGAGCAAACCCAGGGGAGTGCCCCTTTAGCAGGCTTCCCTGCAGACTCCCTAGCTTCCATTTAAAATGGTAAACTGCACCCCAGCTAATTTAACACCAGGAACATTCAAGTCACCCCACTTTGCCTACCCTCCCAATATTTAAATCATCGCAGGGCTGGGCAGAGCAGAGGAATTGCATCACCATAGGGACCATCCCCATGGAAACAGCCTGGGATGTAAAACTCCGCTGCAATAATTTGCAGGAAGATGCTGGAGCACTCGTGGGTCACCCCAGCATCAGCAACCCCTCCACAGCCCCCACAGCGGCGGGGGCTGGACTCACCACTCCAGTTTTTGGCGATCTTGAACATATTGGCAGCTCTGGTGTACATTTCACAGGCCTCCTCCACCTTGGTGTTGCCCCTGAAACGCAGCGAGAAAGCCCCTGATGCCATGGTGGAATGAAACACCAGCCCCAAAACAGGGGCCAAGAGATGAAATGGGGCTTGGGGTGTTGCAAGCCCCTGTGCTCAGGTGACATGGGCCCTCTGAGCTTGATGAGGCTGATCACCCTAATTTTAAAATGTAAGGTGAGCATCACTCTGCTCAGAGAGGGGAAACCTGAATCTGGGGGATGAGCAACCCCCTGCCCTCACCAGACTGTCTCCCACGGGATGGCAGCTCGTTACCAACGCACGGTGGAGGTGGGAGAAATTGGGTTGGCACCTAATGGGGTTCCCTGAGCCCCGCTGCGAACAGGCAGCAGGCGGAGCTGGCAGGCACCGGATAACCAAGCCCTTGCTAGAAATGGGAGGCTGAGTTTTCATTGCGTAAGGCAGGGACAGGAAAGCAGAATGAAACTCACTCCTGAAGTGGTAATTTAAGGTTTTGGCATGTTCCAAAAGTGTGGAGCCTGGAGCAACCCCCCCATCTGCTCTTTGACTCAGGTCCCTCGTTTTTGGGCAGGAGCAGCTGGTTCGTAAGAGTCTCATAAGACACTCAGCAAAAACACCCATAAAAAGCAAACTCTAGTACGTAACAAACTACTGCATCATTTAGGGAACATAAATAAAAAAATTAAGAGATCCTAGACAACTGGCTGCGAAAGAACAACTCAACACAAGTCTCACTGATGGGGTTCAGTAGCATAACTCAGCTCTCCAAACCAGAAGATTAACTTGAGAGTTAAATATTTTTGTTAATTAAATGAAGATTTCTTCACGGACTTAGTCCTGCAAGCTCGGTACTGCCCTCTGTAGCACACAGTCCTCCTGACTCCAGAAAAGGCTGGAGTGAAGGAGATGAAAACATTTATTATTGCCATTGTTTTTTCCCTTCCTTCTTCTGGCAGACAACCACATTTAATTTCTAAGCACAGGCAGGTTTTTTGGACGACTCTTTCCTACTCTTGAAAGCTGCCTTTTGCAGGAACTAAAGCCAAAGGAGTCAGCACGAGGTAACACTACACCCTGCAAGGCATCCAAAATGGGATAGTTTTCAGCCTTTCAGTCTCAAAAAACCATAAAAACCAAAAGCACTTGTGCAAGCTAATGGAGCTCTTCAGGAAAAGGCCTGGCCATCGATAACGCTTTTGGCTGGGCACTCAGCGGCCTCGGCACCCCTTTCACCAGGAGGATGCTGGGAATGAAGTCACCTACCACCTTTTCTTCCATTTTAAAAGCAATTTTTTTTTTGCATCTATTTTTAGCTCAAGAAAATGAAAAATTTGCCTCTCAAAATCTCTACCAGTTCACTCCAAGGATTTTCAGTAATTTGCCACCCGGATTACGCCCCTGGAGCACGTCCTGCCTGATTAATCTGCCGGAGGCTGGAAAGGAATTTATTTTTAAAACTTCTGCTTTTAAGGCTGTGGGCACTAGATTTTTCTAGGCTGTTATTTAGAAACATCAAGGCCTCTGTGGGAGCATCACTCTATAAATGCTCTTTCCTTAGAAATAATAATAAAAAAAAGGCCAAGATCTAGGTGGTAAAAACTGTTGGTTTTTCAGAACCCTTGCAGGCACAGCTCTTTCACCCCCAGAAATATCCACTTTTGCACAAAAAGATCCAGTAAAAAGGAAGCTCTGCCATTTTCTGGGGGTATGGCTCCCACCAGCGAGCCCACCCCTCCAGAGGGTCTCTGTGCTATGAGCCACGGGCTCAGTGCTGCAAGGGGATCACAGCTCTGCTGGGCAGAAAATCATCTGTAAAACCCTGAGCTTGGTACAAATCCCCCTCAGAGCTGCAAAAGGCCTCAAGGAGAACGGGGGGTTTCAGCCTCGCCCCAGCACCGTTCGCAGCAGCCTGATGAGAGCCCTGGGGTGCTGCTGTCCGGCGGGGTGAGGGTGCTCCCCGGGATAAGGGGAGAGGCCAGCCCCCCCCAGGGCGAACCCC